TAAAAATAAAACCTCATAAGTTAATATCATGAATGTTTTAGATGAACTAAAATTACACGGAGAGTGATGTGGAAAGCAAAGGCAGAAGGAAATGGCAGGAGTTATCAGCATTAACTATGGAACTTATTCTATCTAGGTTTACTAAAGGTCAAAAAAGCTTGTGTTGTCTCTATTGCAATTTGTTAGCAAAAACGTAACTTAAAATGATGGTTAATTCTGTTTCAAAGTTTTCATGGGTAATTATTAAGATAGCTTTCAAAATCTTTAGTAATCTGAAGCTTTAAAGCTTTACTTGCATGTTCATTGGTTATCACTTAGGCCCTTCCTAAATAGGATGGGGTGCTAAACCATTAATTACTGAACAAAGGTTTGTGCTTTTGACTTACTGCAGAGCAACTAAGGATATTTGGGTCTGATGGTAAAAATGCTTTGTGCTTTTTTTTTAACTCTGAGGTATCTTAACAAACTTCTCCAATATTTAAATTGTAAATGAATTTGACCAATTAGGCTTATTTGGTATGTTGAACTCTGGAAACACTGTCAAACAAATTTAAGCCATAGGCTACATTTGGGTAAATGCCATAATTATTCTAGATTATAGATGAAATTCCTAAAGTTTTAATATGTTTTGGTAATAAGGTCATCACTTAACATTCCAATTTTTAAGTGTTATGTGCCACAGAAATAACTGGATTTCCTTGCCAGCTATATTGTAACCTCTCATCAGATCTTTTTTTTTTTTTAATGTTTTATTTCTTTCTGCAAGAGAGAGACAGCATGAGCAGGGGAGGGTCAGAGAGAGAGGGAGACAAAGAATCTGAAACAGGCTCCAGGCTCTGAGCTAGGTGTCAGTCCAGAGCCCAACACAGGGCTCGAACCACGAGATCATGACCTGAGCCCAAGTCAGATACTTAACTGACTGTGTTACATTTTTAAATCTTTTTGTGAGTTTTGTGACTCCTGTTTTAAAACATTGCTGGTTCTCTAATGTTTGCTCTTCCAGATTGAGGAAACTTCTCAAGATAGCCATGAGATACAGTAATAGGATAAAGTATTTCTCCGTGCACAAATTAGAATGTTTAACTTTTCTCTCTACCTGAACCCTATGAAATTCAAAAATTCTCTATGACTGTTCATTCTCCCTTGGCGATTACAGTTATTTGCATAAGTTCAATGAGAATTTCTCCTCGTAACAAGAGACCATTGATACCATTGGTTATTTTAACAAGACTTGGACTGGAGTGTCATATTTCAGACACATGCATAAACTCAGATATGACTATATAGCTTTTTTTTCAATTTTTATTTATTTTTAAGAAACAGAGAGACAGAGCACAAGCAGAGGAGGCACAGAGAGAGAGGAGACACAGAATCCAAAGCAAGCTCTGGGCTCTATAGAGTCTGACCTGAGGCTTGAACTCACGAGCCATGAGATGATGACTATAGCCAATGTTGGACGCTTAACCAACTTGGCCACCCAGGCGCCCCAATCATACAGCTTTAAGGAACTAAGACTGACTTTATGAAGCATGAAGTCAATAAAGCCCATTGGTAATGTGGGACTGACACCATGCTTATAGAGTTCCCAGCAGCCTTACCAGGTGAGTAAAGAATGTAACTTCCTGGAAGGCGCAGGAACCTCACGACTCTTAGGGAACTTTATGAAGAGAAATTCTCCCAAATCAACAGGTATTGCAAGTATTTCTGATGGCAAGTACTTGGCTTGGCTTCTGGCGTGGAGAGGCTACTAACCGTTCAATCTAGAGATTCCTTATAAAAAGTTCCAGCAAGGCAAATTTTAAAGGATCTCTATGATCAATCACTAGTCTTACCAAGTTTATGTAAAAAATTAGGCTGAGCAGATTTAAAAGACTCTTATATTGATAATGCAGATGACAATTGGTTTACTGATGGCAGAAGTTTCTGGGAGAAGGGGATAAGGAGTCTGCATATGCTACAGTCAGACAGTCTAACAGAGACTACTGAAGCCAAAGCTCTTCCGGCAAACATGTGTGCACAAAAAGCAAAATTAACAGCACTTACTCTTGCTTTACAATTGGCAAAGGGCCTCTGAATCAATATCGATACTGACTCTAAAAATGCCTTCCTAGTCCTACATGTGCATGGGACAATCTGAAAGGAGAATGGGTTATTATCAAGTCATAACTTTCCCATTAAATATGGATCTTAAATAATAGCCCTCTTAGAGAGTGTATATGAACCCAAAGAGGTTGGACAGATCCAGAGAATCTAAAGGAAATAACCTAGGAGACCATGCAGATAAGTAAGCTGCATGAAGCCAGCAAATATTGAGCCTCATAACAGTTTTATCACCAATAAAAGATATATTCCCAGTCTATTCAGAGCAAGAAACCTAAGTAACCCAGGAATGGGAATTCTCAAAAAAAAAAAAAAAAAAAAAATGCACAGCACTGGTTTATAAATGATAGAGAAATAATCTTTATACCCAAAACCAACTAATACAGGTATATATCAGGCTACTCATTTGGGTAAAAAGGCCCTGGAACAATTGGATAAAACACATATGATGGGATTAATTTAACCACTACCATAAAACAGGTCTGTCGATCATGTGCTATTTGTGCACAAGCAAATCCAGAGGGGGGTATTCACCTTCTTCCTCTTTAAAGCCAATCCAAAGGCAAGGAACTTATCCAGGGAAGGACCTACAATTAGATGGTACACAAATATCATCATGCAAAAGGTATAAATACTTATTGGTTTATGTAGACACCTTTACTGGATGGATAGAGGCCTTCCCTTATAAGACCAAAAAGGCCACAGAAGTGACAAAAACTTTACTAAGGGAAATTGTCCCTAGATTTGAACTCCCTTGGTCCCTACAAAGTGACAATAGACCATCTTTTATTGAACAAAACACAACAATTAGCCTAATCCTTAAAAATTAATTACTATTAATATTTAGCCTGGTATACCCAATACTCTGGAAAGGATGAAAAGCTAACCACACCTTAAAGCAGTATCTTACCATACGAAGCATTGAAGCTCATGAAAACTGGGTTACTCTTTTACCAGTAGGACTTCTCAGAATGAGAATTTCCCCCAAAAAACAAATAAGGTTAAGTCCTTTTGAGTTACCATATGGAAACACTTTTCTCATTGTAGACCTATCAATACATGGAGACTATAATGCTGTTAAATTATTCTCTTGAGGCCAGGCTAATTCATGAATCTCTAAATGAACATGCAAACCTATCCTTCCTAAATTTGGTCTGACAGCTACTAGAAATCAACCCCAAAGAAACCCAGGAGACGTTGTTTATTTAAAGGATTGGAAGTCTAATACAGCAGGGGATGTAACTCCAAAATGGAAGGACCCTTACCAAATCATATTACATACTCCCACTGCGGTAAAGTCAAAGGGGCATTCCTCATGGACTCACATATCAAAAATTAAACCTGTAACTTCCTCATACAGGAATCTAGTATGCCAGTTGGTATACTTTCTTATTCCTATGAACCAGTAGAAGACCCCAAATTTCTCTTCAAATGACCAGAAAGAACTGGAGGAAAACTATTGAATGTTTTTTATTTAGGCTTCTCTTTTTCTCATTATTAACCTTATTTTGTTGTCTTTTCCTGTGTCTTCCTGCCTGGTGCCAAGACTCCTTCACTGCCATAATTTCTAGCTGACAGGTGATCTTTTCTACTGAAGGAAGTTCATATGTGTTGTCTACCATGGACCAGCTGCCTCTGCCTTTGGTATTCTTCTATATAAGTACCCCAACTGACCAATGTTGACTCATAGGTAGGGACATCTCTAAGCCTCTATACAGCAGGAAGAAGTTTCAAAGGAGAAGACCTTCTGCCCTCAGCACACTTAAAGATTTAAAGGTCAAAATTGTTTAGGGGGAATGATGTACAAAGGAAACAAAGGAAGAAGGAAATGGCAGGTAAAATGCAATTTCTTTATAACCTGCAGCCCATTGACAAATATTTGAGGCTGGCAAAGTAAGCCTCAACTTCTCTCCAGGAACTCCCTACTGTCTTATATTGATGCTTTGCTAGAGGGAGAAACAACCTTAGCTTGACAATAGTCAGGCATCCATTCTCCTGTCTTTTTTTAGCATATGAAAATCCCTTTGGAAACTTCCCCTTGACTTTACTTCTCCCAACTCCCAAGTATATAACAAGTCTCTTTTCAGGATCCCAGGGAAGCTCTTTCTGCCTATGGGTCCTGTCCCCATGATCTAATAAAATCACTTTTTTGCACCAAAGAGGTCTCCATGAGTTCTTTCTTAGCTGTCAGCTCTGAACCCCCCCCTTTTCATCCCCAAAATCTCATCAAAGAGGGGCACCTGGGTGGCTCAGTTAGTTGCCTGACTTCAGTTCAGGTCATGATCTTGTGGTTAGTGAGTTCCAGCCCCACACGGGGCTTGCTGCTGTCAGCCTGTCAGCATAGAGCCTGCTTCAGATCTTGTGTCCCCCTCATGTTGCCCCTCCCCACTAGCGCACTCTCAAAAAATAAACATTAAAAAATAAATAAAATTCTATGGAGAGAAGAACACCTCTAAGATGAATTATGTAGAAATAAACAAAGGCAAACAAATGAGAACAGAGGTTATTTACTCAGAGCTTGCTAGAGGAAGGGAATCAGCCACTATCACAGCATTTAGCAGAGACTCAAAGGCAGGGGAATGGAAAAGCTTTATGGTGGAAAAAAAAGCTTTATGATGGGGAAGGTTTATATTTTACTTTCATTGGGGGTTGTTAATAGAGAGAAGCTGTAGGCAGGCTAACTAGAAATGGAGCATCCTATGTGACTGTTTTGGGGAGCATATCTGGTTTGTCCAATTGGTTCTGATCTGGGAGTGAGCATAAAACTTATGGAAGCTAGTAGTCCCTGTCCAGGTTCTGACTGTTCTGGCCTGACTACTGCAGAAATTTTGATTTGACTTTCCGGATTGTTGGCTGCAGAATTTGCAGGTCAGATGTCTGCTTTCACATATGGTCTTGCCATTGTCCATTTGTATATTCATCACTCAAGTCAAACTATCTCCAAACATTTCGTTTGCGAATCCCGAGCACTAGTTAAAGATGGGGGTAAATTTATCCTAAGAGTCCTTGTGAAAGAGAAGCCAACAATTTATAGCAGCTGTGCATGATTGAGTAACACATTTTAACCTGATGGGTTTCAACCCCATGACTAAACTTCCTCATGATATAACTGCTAACTAGCTATTTTACAGAAAGTGAGCAGCTGAATATTTAATTTTCAAGTTTCTAAAAGAAAGAATAAAATACCCTGCAGTATTGCCTGCCTGTTTTAGAAAAATAAAAGACCTGTTGGAGAAAGTGCATCTTAAGTATAATACTGTTGTCTGCCTTAGGTATTTGCCTGTTTATGAAGCTGTATGGTACCTTCAGCAGCAGGTAGCTGAAGAGCTAGGCAGGGTATTTCTGAACTCTCAAATTCAGACTGCAAAGAGAGAAAACTAATGAGGGTCTTAATCTTATGCTTTAGAAAACTTAGAAGGCCACATCTGTAAATAAAGATGAAACAAAAGAAGACTAAATCTTCTCAAAGCTGTAATCAAACCAAAACCAAGATCAATCTTTGAATGGACTGTGAAGAGAAATAATTGCCTTAGTAGCCTTATACTGAAAAAAAAAAGAAAAGAAAAGAAAAGAAAAAAATAGAAGGGGAAAATACAAATATATGAAACCCTAATTTTTACAAAATGCCTAGAATGTATCACTAATGTTCATAAACTTACAAGTTGGTAAACATACAAAAAGTGAGTATATATAACCAATCAAGAGAACAAAGAGACAATGGCAACAAACCCAGGAATGATCCAGATAGTGATTTTATATAAGTTATATATGAATTGCATATACTATGAGTTATGCATCAAGTATTTTAAAACATATTTTAGGATATTTGAATTTTTTAAAGAACCTAGTTACATTAAAAATTATATGTAAGTATGTACAAATAACCAAGTAAACCTAAAGTTGGAAAGTGAAATGTTAACGTATCATACGATAAAACTGAGTGCACACGCAGAGAAATAAATATCAACAATAGAAAAATAGCTTACTGGAACAAAATAGGCTACAGATGGACTCATGCATACATAGAAATTTAATATAGGATAAATTTGGCAGCATCAATCAATGGTGAAATGAAATATGGTCCATAGATACTAGGTAGAGTGACTCACCATATGGGGAGTGAAAAGTCATTATTCAATCTCATAGAAAAGAGAGTCCCAAAGAGATTAAAGAAAACATGCCAAGATAAAATTTCAAAGATTGTAATGATTCAAAGATTATAAAAGTAAATGAAGGAGCCTACATTTGTGACAAAGGGGTAAGAGTGATGACAAATACTTATCACAGAAAATTTCAAAAAAAAAAAAAAACAACTAACAAAAATGACTATTGTGATACTTCTAAATAGGTTTCTCTTCAAGGAAGAATACCAAAATTAACATACATGGAAAATTGGGAAAAGCATTCTGGTTTGCTCTAAATCAGAAAGGAAATAATACTTACAATATAAAAGGAATGTACGCAAAAATTCTGTTAACCAGATAGAAAAATGGAAAAGGATATGAATCTGCAAAAAAAAAGGAAGAAAACAAAAGAAATGAACAAGAAAGAAACCAGAGATACAACAGATAGGATCAACTAACTCAAAAGTTATTCTTTGAAAGAAACTGATAATATTAACAAAAATCTGGAAAATTAAGAAAATGAAAAAGAAGGCACAATAACAGAAATTTTTAAAAAATATTAATTCTATAGATATTAAAAATTACTAAAAAATACTATGAACAATGTCATCAAATTATTTAGCATTGAGATCAAATAAATTCTGTGAACTATAAAATTTATAAAAGCTGAAGTTAGAAAAAAAAGTCCTATGTAATCCCACAAGAATATACAAAAATAAATAAATCAATATTTTAAAATGTTCTTATACAGATTAACAGCAATCTCAAATAGTTTTACTTGTAAATGTTATCAAACTCTAAAGGAACAAACAATTCTATTCTTGTTAATTTTTTTCGACAATGAAAAAAAGGGAAACAGTTAACAGCTAATTTAATAATATAACATTAAAACCTGCTACATCAGCATGAAAAAAGAAATTACTATCTCATCTTATTCATAAACAAGGATACAAAATCCTAAACAAATATTTATTAGCCAAATTCAGGAATATATTTATAAAATACAACTTATCATCAAGGAGAATTTACTCCAGGAATAAAAGATAGACTAAAAAACAGAAGCAATTAATACAACTCACCTTATTAGAGAAAAATAAAATTAGTATTCTGAAATATATACATACAATCATGATAAAAATTTGAATCGATCGACATTTCCTAACATAATATTTTAACCAATGATTACATCAGACATTGTACAAGGATAAAATAATGATTTCAGACAAGATCAAGAATGAAGCAAATATAATCATAATTAAGTTATTTACAGATAATATAAATGTCTAGAAAAGTCAAAAGCAACTATAGCTAACATAAAATTCAGTAAGTTTACTAAGGTTGTAAATAAAATACTATTTTAAAAATCGATTACATTTTTATAAACCAATAAGATAAAATATAACTTCATAGTATGTACCATTAACAATAGCATTTAAACTATAAAATAATCATAAATAATTCCAACAAAAGTTGTTACAGAACATTAAGTAAATAGTTTGTTTATAGCATGATAAAGTTTAAAGATTTTTAAATAACTAACTATATAGAGTGATGGATTGCAAAGATGGCAATTTTTACTGAATAGGGCTACAAAATAAATGTAATTCTAGTGCTAATTTCAAAAAAATTTTTCAATAAAAAAGTTTGTGGAATATAGACAAACTGATCTAAATTGTATAGGGAAAGGCACTCTTAAAAATGGCATATAGCCTTATTAATAACCAGAACATAATAGGAGGCTCCAAAATATGTCTGCACATTCACAGACACACACACACATTTGAAACTGGTAGAAAAACAAATTTAATTTGCTTCCTCACCATATATTAAAAAACTTAAGAGATTTAATGTAAATGCAAAAGTAGAAACTGCAAAATCCAAAGCTAAAGATTCTTTAGTAGTAAATATAGGAGTAAGTCGCATTAGTAGTAAAGAATTTCTGAACCAATATAGAAAAATTACTAAACACAAAGGGAAATATGAATAAATACAGTAAAGCACATTAAAAACAAGTACATTAAAATATTTATTCATTACATTTCACTAGGGCAGTTGGAAAGGTAGGTTGAAATGACATTTGTATAAATCTGGATATTACAGTCATTTGGTATAACAACTCTGAATTTCCAAGGATTGATTATTTTTTCTCCTTTTTTTTTTTTTAACAATTATTTATTTTTGAGAGACAGATCATGAATGGGAAGGGATAAAAAGAGAAGGAGACACAGAAGCTTAAGCAGGCTCTAGGCTCTGAGCTGTCAGCATTGAGCCCGATGTGGGGCTGGAACCCACAAACCGTGAGATCATGAATTGAGCTGATCTCTGACTTCAGCTTAACCGACTGAGTCACCCAGGCACCTGGATATTTAAAGGATTATTTTAAAAGAATTTTTACTTTTTTTTTTTTAATGTTTTATTTATTTCTAGGAGAGAGAGAGAGAGAGCGTGAACAGGGGAGGGTCAGAGAGAGAGGGAGTCACAGACTGAAACAGGCTCCAGGCTCCGAGCTGGCAGTCAGCACAGAGCCCGACGCGGGGCTCGAACCCACGAACCGCGAGATCATGACCCAAGCGAAAGTCGGACGCCTAACCGACTAAGCCACCCAGGCGCCACAAGAATTTTTACTTTTAAGTTAAGTTCAAGTCTCTTCGCCGAAGTGGATTTATAACATTATTTTTTTAATTAGACTTTTTATCAGGATTAGAAGTCTGAATTTTATATAAATTCTTGGAGTCAAGATTTATTCTTTATATATATATAAATGTCTTTATATAAATGTCTTGGAGTCTGCTGAGTCATATCCATAAGTTTTTTCAACTTTAGAACCGGTCTCATCCTTCACAGCTTTTCAAAACCACTACCTTCACTATGAAGCTCCATGAATTTTCCCAATTCATATTTGGGCTTCTACAGAATTTTTATTTTTCTATCAAAGACATCATGGAAAAGATTAAAAAATTTGAAAGCTTTTTCTATATCTTCTCCAATGCTGTTTGCACTCAATTTATTGACCACTACTTTCAAGTTACTTGTATACAACTTTTGGGTCACGATTTTCATCAGCTTCTGGATTTTTCAGACCTATGGTCCTGAATTTACATCTTCCGAGTCTGATTGTTTTTTTTTAAATTTTTTTGGTTTCATTTATTTTTGAGACAGAGAGAGACAGAGCATGAATGGGGGGGAGGGCAGAGAGAGAGGGAGACACAGAATCTGAAACAGGTTCCAGGCTCTGAGCTATCAGCACACAACCCAATGCCGGGCTCAAACCCACAAACTGTGTGATCATGACCTGAGCCAAAGTTGGATGCTCAACCAACTGAGCCACCCAGTCACCCGTTTTTTTTTTTTTTTTTTAGTAAAACCAGCACAGGCTAGAAGAACCAAATGACCACCAGAATTCTTGACTTCAACATGAACTTCAATCACAGCCTGCCTTTTTTTTTTCTTTTTATCTTTTTTTGAAAATCACAAAGCACAAAAGTACAATCCATTCCATGGAAGTTGACCTGGTAGATTTGCCCAGATAATCTGTAGTAACTGGCATGAATTTTCTGTTTAAAAAAATTTTTTTTAATGTTTTATTTATTTCTGAGGGAGAGGACAAGAGAGACAGCGAGAGCAGGAGAGGGTCAGAGAGAGAGGGAGATATAGAATCTGAAGCAGCCTCCACGCTCTGAGCTAGCTGTCAGCACAGAGCCCAATGTGGAGCTTGAACCCATGAACCATGAGATCATGACCTGAGCCCAAGTCAGACACTTAACCAACTGACCCACCCGGGCATTCCTGGCATTAATTTTCTAAGTGTAACTTCATCATTCTGCAAATCAGCAAGTCTCACTTCAAAACCACTACCCTTGATGCACTCAATATACCCTTCAGGTGCAATTTTGGTTCCTTGAATTCTTCAGATTAGCATTTTTCCAGCCCTACATATATTGAACATAGCTGTTGTTTTCACATTGTATCAATGTGTTTTTAAAAAATGGGTCAACTACTTTCTTTTTGGCTCTCTTTTTGCTGCCTTTTGTAAGATGCTAGTTGTTGCCAATCATCATGGTGCAGCTCTGGGAGCCAAAGCCTTAGACCTTTATTTTATTTTGCAACTTTTATAGGCAATGCAAAGTTCCCAACCCTAGTCCATAATCACAGAAACAGTAAACTACTTAGATTTTTTAGAGCCTTTGTGTATGTTTGTACAAAGAATTAAAGAACTATTATTCCACATCATTTCCTTGTAACTCCCTTTTTTTTTTTTTTAATGAAAAGCTATTTAGGGCATATGTCTTAAGGAAATAACAGAGATTATGGAAAGAAGATACTATAGTGTGACTGTGCAATGCCCCTGCAAAAAATTCATATATTAAAATCCTGATACTGAATGTGATGGTATGAGGAGTTACATAGGTCATAAAGATGTGGTCCTCATGAAGGGATTAGTGCTCTTATAAAGAGAGACCCTACAGAGTTAGTTCACTCGTGACCCAGAAAAGGGTCTTTACCCAACCATGTTGGCACTGTGATCTCAGACTTCCAGCCTCAAGAACTATAAGAAATAATTTATGCAGTATTTTGTTGTAGTAGACAGAATAAGACACACAGCTTATTTAAGCATTATGTTATTTGAAAGGTACTAAGATGATTTTTCAATATAGTTTTGTGAGTAAATATTTCCACTCTCTTTATATCAAATAAAAACCAATCTGGTTCTTTAAACTTAAGTCATTAGCTTAATATGTACTTTAGACTCATTCTTTGATTTTGCCTCACCCAATTATCAGCATAAGGGTTTTTTTAGGTGTGTAAACATCCTTTGGAGTATAAGAATATTTTAAATGGTGAGCTGCTATCATTTATTTTACAGTTACTATTGCCAGTCATTTTAATACAATAATTAGGACTCATAAATTGGTCACAACCTTGGAAACCATCCTGTACAAATCAGTATAATCTACCAGTTTCTTGGTTGTCATAGAAACTGATCATAGCAAGCATGTTTAATGCAGTACACATTTATGCATAAATTAATAACTCACTAAAGTTTAAAAATGAGTCTAACCAAGATCATTTTTACAACTTTTATCATTGCTCTCAATTTTACCTAATGTGACATTCCTTTTTAAACATGAGCCAAACAAACAAACAAAAAATATATATATATAATACTGAACTAAATAGATAAAGGATATACCTTTAGAGCTAATATTCAGTAGTTTTCTCATAAGGGAAGGATTCTGTCACTTCAGATGAAATAATGTATTGATATGACTTGTCCTAGCATTTGAAATGCCCTTACTTCCGATGTATTTAGCTGCTCCCATCATTGCCTTACTGTACTAATTTGGGGAATAAAAAGTCTTACAAAATCCAGCATTGGGATGCAGTGAACTGCATCATCTTAAGGATTTAAAATGCAATTTCTGAGGAATAAAAAGGATACAATCGGAGCCTTGAAACAAGTAAGCAGAGTTTTCTGTGCAAATATTAAGATCCAGCCAATGAAATAGTTTTGTCATTCAAAGGTTTCATCCATAAACCATTAGGTTAAAATTATGTCATTCTTTTACATAAAATGAAGTTCTATAAATCCCTTCATTGTTTAAATAAGTAGCACCAAAACATAAAAACAAAATCCAAAGAGAGCATCCCTATCTCAAAAGAGAATAAACCCTAAGGTATGTTTACATTAAAGAAAATCATTAAGGAAAGAAGTTAAAAGAAATAGAAATACTATAAGAATATCTGTGTAAAACATACAATTATATATACACATATATGTATAAGTATATAAGCATATATAAGAATATACATTCATATAATTGTATGTACACATAAAAAGAGAGAGAAATGTAACTATGTATCATGTACCCATTTGGTTTCAATGAATAAAAATTCATGACCAATGTTGTTTTATCTTTATCCCCACTAATTAACCCAATCTCACATTATTTAAAGAACTAAATTAATTTATTAAATTCTTCTGTATATGTATGTGTTTCAAACACCCTTTCAGAAACAAGGTGATAATTACATCAACTGCCTTAAAGTTAGTTCCTAATTATCACCAAATATCCAATGAGTTTTCAGACTTCTTCAGTTACCTCGTAAGAGTTTTGCAGTGGATTTATTGGGATCAGGATACAATTGAGATCTATGCAATTGAATTAGCCAGTGCTTCTCTTGGATTTTTCTTTTTCTCCTTTTAATTTGTTTCTTCCCCCAGGAATTTTGGGAAAATAGGTTATTTGTCCTAGTTTCACATAATCTAAATTTTCCTCATTACCTTTCTATGGTGTCTTTTAACATGTTTTTCCACCTTATTATTCTCTGTGAATCAACA